GATTTCTACCAATAGCCACAGGAGCAGGTGGCCCCACTTGCAACTTCAGAACAAGTACCTCATCCTGGTCATCACTGAAAGAACAAACAGAAATTTATCAGAACCAGCTGAGTCCAAACCTTGTGTTTTCACAGAGGAGAAAAGGCCTGTGATAGTTACTGGAGACACCCTCCACCTGGGGATGGAGGCATGGTCTTCTGACCTGCCCTGATGATATCTTGGGAGGTCTGGTGCTTTCCATGAGCCCAGGATCCAGGATGTTGCTGAGGCTTGTCCAGTCCTTGGACTATTACAGCTCTTCCATGTGGGCACCAGCAGCACTGCTGGGAAACCCAAGGCATGTCAAGAGTGACTTCAGAGCTCTGGGGGCAGGGGTAAGGCATGGGAACCTAAGTGGTGTCTCCTCAGTCCTGCTACTGAGGCTTGAAGGGCTGGAGCAGAAGTCAACTCATCTGACAGGTTAGCACCTGATTGTGTTGCTGGTGGTGGAATCAGAGCATTCACTTCTGTGAACACAGGGCATTCTCTGGTCGTGCACAAAGTACTCCAGACACACAATAGCAAAACTAGCATAACAATACAAACTTAACAATAACATAGTAAAGAAATTAACTCCTCCCTTTTCTTATTGATTTGATTTTTTCCTCTGAACTAAAAGGCGCTGCCATGCTGCAGCTGTAATCAGTGCTGCAAAGCTGCCTCAAAGCATCTAGACCCAAAGCACTGTTGCAACAGCTTTTTACTGATGGAAAGTAAAAGATATTACAGAGGAGCCTGTGAGAACTAGGTAGAACTTTTTGAATTACAGTAAACGCTCAGGAGTCATCAGCACAGCAAAGCAAGTAAGTGCCAGTACCAGTCATAGCAGCTGTAAGAGTGCTGTGAGTTGTTCAGCAGCTTCATGAGACCTCATGAAGCAAAGAGCACAGATAAGAAGGTAGAAGTTTGCATGGAACATACTTGAATCTTGCTTGAGGACAAGAAATACTGTTCACGATCATCTGTGGTTAGGCGTTATTACTCTGTGTGCAGCATGTTGCTACCTGTGACAGTTGTATAAATACAAGGGGCTTACAGAATAGTGTTACACCTCGGGAATCACATCTGCAAACAGGAGGACATCTGTAAGGGCTTCCTTGAGGCCTCACAGGACTTCTCTGTTGCAGCAATTTGAGATACAAATAGCAAATGCGACAGTAGCCTTGAGACTTCCCCTGAGGCTCAGCTGCATTATAGTTGGAAAACCTACAGACATTCTTGATCTCTGTCCTGGAGAAGAAGGTCTGAAACGTGACCCATGGGAATCACAGTTGTTTGAGGAGAACCGTGCAATGCAGGGAAGAAAAAAGAAGTGACTGCATAGGGTAGAAAAGAGCAGTCTTTCACACTTGATGCCCATCTCTTGGGGACAGATTTGCCAGGGAGGATATACCAGTTTATATGAGTGGAAGATGTTCTGTGGCCTTCATTTGGCTAGTGGATCCTGTCATAGTTTTTATACATTGATTTCTGTGACAAGGATCAGGGATCCCTGTCAGGTAATTGGTTGTAGGCTCACAATGGGAATCATAATGGCAATGTGTATCCCAGCTGCAACTGCATTCTTCCTTCCCTAGCTTTAGGTTCTGTGCTGGTAAAATACTCTAATTACCTTAGAGACCACAGCAGCAAAGTTTGTATCTGTGTATAATGTTTGAAGGAATGCTTTCTCTACCTTAATTTCCAGACTCACCTGACAAGCTGGTGCCTGGCACGTCTTCCTTACATCAAAGAAAGTAAGAGTGGGACAGCATGATTTGCCAAGGGATGATTTTTGCTTCTGGAAAACAAATGGAATGTCACCGAGATTCCAATAGTAATGTGACTTACGTTTTACTTCTTCCACCTAATATGCTAGAATTCATTCTTGTTTATGTCTGTATATGAGTCCCTGTAGGGCCTATGTAGGGCTCAGATTTTCTGTCATGGGCTGTGTCTCAGGTTCTAGCCTGAGTGTACAGTGCAGTTCAAGACAGATGTAAGTATGCAACGAGAATCTACAAATAAAGAACATGTGATATGCCCAGGTAGTATTTGGCAGAACAAGTCTAATCCACCTCTGTGAGACGAGGAAGACTTTGCAAGGCAAATGTTTTTTGATAGAAACATGAGAGGGTAGACCATGAATACAAACAATAGCAGAAATCTCTGGAAAAGATACATTGGTGGGATAATTGTTTTGGGATGGGATGAATGAAAGCAGAAGTTTATTCTTGTCTTACACACATGGCACAACATACAGAACCAGCACAAATAACTTACAAAATCTCATACACCATGCTTCCTCTCGAATAGCTGCTATTAAGATACAACACCATAACGAATCAGGTATTTAGTTACGACAGATCTCCAGACATGGATAGCCTCCCATTCAAGGAGTTATTATTTTTGTAAGCTACTTAGACAAACATCATTTTTTTACATGTTTAATACAGTACAGTATCCTTAACAGAGTTCAAGATATTCACAATGAGAATTGAATACTTTATAAAACAGCAGAATTTCTCATCTCAGTACAGGTTTACATTCGCTCCTGCCTTGCCTGGTTTACAGATGTGTTACAAGTCGTCTTTACTCAACTTTCCAAGCTAAACATTGTTTTAAATGAAAAACAAAAATCTATTTACAGGTTTTTTTTAGATTTAATAAAAATTTCTTTGCTTCCCTTTCCCATTCTTACCCCCTACCCCCAACAACAACTGCCATTTAGCTGGTAGAAATATTAACCCTCAAGCTGCTATAGAAACTTGAAAAAAAAATTGATGACGACTCGTTGGATACAAAATGAAAGATGGTTACAGCCCATCATTAATTCAAAAAGGTGGATTTTTTTCTTCTAACATGAGAATTTGTGTCCATTGAAGACAGATGACTCCTGTCATCTGATTTTTAGAGATAAGGTACTACTTACGGGCCAATATGCAAAACCTCCATTTTTTTTTTAATTACGAGCTGTCCCAATCTCTTTCATGCAATCCCTTTCAGTATAAAGTTTTTTTTTTTACTAGAAATTGTAACAACACTGGTTGTGTGGTACTGACTTAAACTCTCCCAGCCTCAATCAGATCGAACAGTGTCTCCCCTTATCCGTGGTCCCACTGACATTACTGGGTTGACTCACAAGAAGAGTTTTGCTCCGTGATTGCACTTCAAACCCCACTGAAGCCTGTGGGCATCTTTTCTTTGACTTGGTGGCTTTGGATTAGCTCTGCTTGAATGTGGCTGGCAAACTTTAGCCCTTAAGCAGTCAATTAGCTTTCTAAAGAAATAAGCAAAAAAGATTCCTCTCCTTTATACATACAATACGCAGGTTTTTTACATTGAGCATTATCATAAAAAGCATGTTTATGTTATTTTGAAAATGTATTTTTACAGAACTTTATAAACACTGTTATATCAAACACATTCTCAAAAACTGGAGAAAATACCAACACAAAACCTGGAAGAGCCTCAATAGAATTCTTCCAGAACTATTTGTCTACTTGCATATTTCATATTTCAGTGTCCTTTACTGCAAACATAATTTGGCCATATGAGAACAGGTAAAGTCGACAACAAATCTCCAACAGTTTTGAATAAGACCTGGATCTGTTGTTTAATGAAAGTAATTTGACATCCAGTGGATGGTTTTTTACCTGGCATGCCCATTCTCTTACATTTACTCTCATTGAACAATACCTTAATTCCCAAATAGTCTCTTTCACTTCAGTGGGATTACACGTGATAAAATGACGTATGCAAAAATACTGAAAATGGTTTTCCACTTTTTAAATCCTTCTTATGTCAATAACTAACATCATTATATTCTTCTTTATATATATTGTAATTGAAAAGGATGTAAGAGTAATATTTGCAAAGAATTCTGTATCAGAAGTCGGTGTACAAACTTTAGGAAATAATCTGCTTAGAATTGTGCTATAGTTCTGACTGCCTAAAAATCTATCTGGTGTGACCAAGAGTAAATTTCACAGGTCTAAATGCTTTATTTATATACTTGCTTTTATTACACTTAATACTCCCCCAGCCTGGCACAGTTTAAGTTTAAACGTACATATGTCATGTTCACACTAACATGAAATCAGGATGTTATTTTCCCTTACCACCACCAATTTTCAGTACAATCAGTAATGGACATTAATGCATATAATCTAAGTGAAATGCACTTTTCAAGTAATTTGTCTAACATAATATTGGATAAATTATAATGTGAGCTTGGTTTCCTTTCCTACAAAAGTTTAAAAATGCACTAAACTTTGTATGTTGGGAGTAGTCTTACTGACTGTAATGACATTACTCACAGTTCAGGAAGTTAAACAGCAGAATAAGGTTTTGTTCTCTGTCTCACTATTTTGTTCTTTAATGAAACAAAAGAAGAAGTAACTTTTCTTGAAGTATTACTCAGTGGCTTAAAATATAATTGGTGAAATGTCATTGACTGTAATGTCCTGTATGTTACCTCATCTCAATAGAAATGCTTTCCCATGGCTTGAAATGCTTAAAATGTTATCCTTGCTAGAGGAAAAAAACACAAGCCATATCTAATCCCAAATTCTAGCTATACTATAACATGTGCAGTCACCCGTAAAGGAGCCCTTTTAACAAAACAATGTATGTTAACTTGCACAACAATTTGTATCTATTTCCGTCACTGTAATAAAACAAGATATATATATACATATTAAAAAATCCAAGTGTAAATAATTATACAGTATTTCCACACATAAAACAACTAGTTGCACATGATGTGACATGTAAAGCAAATTGCTGAAAATCTCTTAGGTCTTTGGGATGATCAAAGTATAAGTAACCAAAATTTACAAATAATGATTGAATTTTCATAAAAGAAGGTTTTTGATGGAGGGGCAGAAGGAATTCGCCTCCTACTCACCCTCATCCCCCATGGCTTTTACAGACTTAACCCCTTCCCCCAATAAGCCACAGGTGTTTTTTTTAGATTTAGCGATATATTTTAATGAGGTTTTCTTCTTCTGTATAACAGTACTAATAAGGTTTCCAGGGACTTTTTCATAAAACATAGTCTGTTCCTATGGAAGTTTATAGTGCTTCAGAAGTTTCAGGCTATTTAAGCTCCAGAATAATATGATTCTGATCCAATTATGTTAAAGTCTAATGAAATAGAAATTCCTTTATTTACTGTGAAAATTTAGTTACCTTCTGTTCTGATAATTCAATCCAGTTTTTATTCCCCCACCCCCCCAAAAAAAGTCTTGTAGTTACAAGCCTGTAATTATACGTAGCAAAGAAAGAAAACCGCTCCTTGCCTATGGAAATATATATAGCTTTTCAAGTTCCAACCCCTCTCTAAGCCGCTAACCATCACACAACATATGCCATTTGGCAATTTGTCTCCTAGGATATTCACAAATTTCTTTCCAGTGCTCTCCACCTGTTCCTTCTGCTGAAGATCCCAAGGTTAACCGGCCAATGACCTCATTCCTTGACCCCCTTTCTGAATCTAAAACCAAAAATTCAATGCTGATATCATCAAGGCCCTCACAAGGAATGTCAAAGACAAACAATTCATTGAACACTGCATTGGGGGTGCATTTCTTCACATGGGTTTTCTTTTTAGAAATTCTCTTCTTAGCATGGTACAGGTTCACTTTGACATAGGGGTCTGTAATGAAAAGAAAGAGCACAGATCAGCCTTTGAACAGTGTTGTTTAGAAACTCCTTGATCTAGTTAATGGTAAATTTCATAACTTACCAACATAATTACCTTACAATGAGGAGATGTTTCAAGTTATTAAGGATGATTAATCTCATCTCATCCAATTTTTGTGTTTATATCTGAATTAGTCTCTTTAAGTTCCCTTTATGGGCACCAAAGATGTAATCAAGATAGTGAAGTGTAGGGTGTAATTCATCTGATCAAATACAGGTGTCTCCTTCATGAAATAAATCCTGCCCTGTAGTCCATTAACCCTAATAACATCTTTCCTACATGCAAAGGTGGTCTGAAAGTACACAAAATTCTAATGGACTCTGACATATATATATCACTACATATTTATATGTAGCAGAAATCTGCTTTTTCACACGTTTTACCAGTAGGGGATAATCATTAGCGTTAATAAGACTCATGCAAAGAAAAGCCTCAGAAAGGAGAGAATAAGCTCATGCTGAGAGAATGGATGAATGGATGCGATTCATTTCTGTTGTGGTGCTACCAAAGTCAATTAGCTTGATTAAATTGCTCCCACCAATTTTTATTGAATGAATTTAACACTAAACTTTAAATGTAAGGGTACATTTGTTCTTAGGATATGCACTTGACTTTATGTCTGTGCTGTACTATTATTGAAGAAGGGAAGGGAAAATGCCCATATTTTTAGCTGCCAACTAACTTTGAGTGTTTGCATTCCTCATAGTTATTCAACTGTTGCAAGATTCCTTTGCTGTTGTCTTCAACAATAGCTATATTTCTTCCTTCAGAGGAATTTCCAGAGAATGCTTTAAAAATCATCCCTTTCAAGTACCTCGGTATTTATTTCAGTGCAAATGTGGGCCTGTTTCCAAGTTCTCATGTACAAAATCCTTTCTACTGAACCCAGTCAAACAAGATAGTTTATGTAAACAATCAGCTAATAAACATCAAGAAGAGTTGAATATTTTTTTGAAAAAGTAAAATTAAATCTGAACCATATTTAGAAATGCTATGCCAAAATTATCAGACTGAAATGGTTGGGTGATGAAAAGGCTTTCGTTTCCTTGAACTGACAATAGTTTAACAGGAGTAAGGTATGATAGAATACATCTTCACTTTCATACTCTATCAACATAACAAACATTTTAAAAGTAGGGTTTAATGTAATGAAAATGTTCATTTGCTTTAGAATGAATATATGCCACACAAGCATTAAAAATAACAGAATCAATATCCATCGGTGGATTCATGCTGTTGTTCATTTCTGTTTAAAGGCTATTTTCTGACTATTACTTCTGGCCAGCTACTAGATAAGGCTAGAATGTTCCTCTTGATTTTATTAGATCTATTAGGAGACCTCAACGCCAGTGATCGAGGAAACCAAGAAGGTTGTGGGAACGGAACAGCTTCTGATTAAAAAAGTTCCCATCTTCCTAAGGACATTGAGTTACACAATTGTTTAGCTCACCCCATAGAAACACCATTTCATCCTCCTCCTTGTCCAAGATTCATGTTGGGCTGAGGGGAAAGTCACAGAGGAAAAAGGACTGTGGTGAGTGCAGTATGTTACTGACACCCAAATATCTATCGAACCTGGGCTTGCTGATGAACAGCAAATAATGAAGAACTGTCTAAATGAACGAGGTGTCCAGGTGTAGTATGGCTGCCTGTATCTCTTAGGAATATTATATTCCTATCATAGCTGGCAAGGTTGTGCTGTGGGAAGCAGAAAGAGCAAGCAAAGTTTATAGCTTTACTTGTAAGAAGTACAGTAAGCAAACATGGAGTTTGTTGTGCTGTATGGTCCAGGTGGCTGCTGAGAGTAGGAGGGCTTTGGTTTTCAAGTTATTTTCCCACCTGGGTGAACCTCAGCCAAGCTTTGTCTGTTGAGATCAGCTCGCTGTCACGTTGTCTTCATGAAACCTCCCCTATCTGCTGTGACTTTGGGGTTGGTTATTAAAAGTATGTATGCTCTCTTATAGTGCAGTAAACTGTTGGGCTCCATTTGTATCCTTTCTCCTTATGACATGGGAATAAAATTGAGGTCAGAAGGAGGATTTCAGTGGAAGTCCACTATGGGAGTTATCGATAGCTTTGTTGTATTGGATCCAGGGTGGATTCACTTTCTAGGTATATTGCAGTATTTCTTGGTATGAGAAGTAGAAGGACTGTATTATTGGCTGTAGTAATTATGATTCAGTGGTTCCCAAAACAACTACTTTTAAAAAAAATCCTGTGAAATGAAAGAGTATCAGTCTTATACAGAATCAACAGCAGATGCTACTGTTTGTATAGTCCTTTGTTGTGTACTGTTCTTTTTGTGTAGTTGCCATAGCCTTAGTATATAGTACATTAAATTTTATTCTGTTGTTATGTTATCTAGCATTAATGTGCATCTAAGTGCAGTTCCATTATTGGCTCCAAAGGAGGTTCCACTGAATGCAAGATGGCACAACAAGACCAGGAGAAAGGAGTGCAAAAACCGCACCTTCTTAGTGCACCCCAAGTACAGCTCATGATAAAGGACGGGTGTTCTGTTACAGCCTGCTTCCAGCACTGGCATAGTTCACCTTTCAACCTTGCCAAATAAATGTTAGTGCTCAGTGGGCCAAATTCAGCACAGATGTATCTGGTTGCTTTTCTTGGTGCTAAGCTGAAATGAACTATGTGATGATCTCGCTCGATACCAATCGTCTATAAATAAACTGGGGTTTTGTCATAAATAAAAGCTTTTAGTATCTGCAAATAACATCCCATACTTATGGCAGATGGGTTCTGTTCAAGACAATCACAAAACTCATTGGTTTCCACTGCTAACAGATGTCATGGGTTTTTTAACATATGATTGAAGAACAAATTTGTAAAATACATACCCTGGAAAATAAAGCATTGACCTAGATATGAGTAAAATGAATAGGCTGCAAATAATAGAGACACCATTTCTGCATTTATGAGCTATTTTTAGTCTTTGAAATGCCACATTTCAGCTGCCTTCTGTCTATTTGTTTTATATTCTTAGGGCATATTCATTAGTAAAACTATTACCTGATAATCCTGACACATCAGATTTAGGTAGATGCCTGGCTTTTAAAACAACCACAGTGAGCGTGTTTGTTGTAGACTGATAACAGAGAGAGATCAGCAATTCTCCACGCCCAGATGATTTCTGAGGAAATTAAAAAAAAAAAAAAGAAATAAGACTATTTATAAGCAATTACATTGACCAAGCTTTAAACCAGAATTAAGAAGATTTATGAAATGTCACATAACTGTATGTTCTGAAACAGTGTAAAAGGATATAACTTATGGAGCTATGCTGCTTTACATAGTAAATATAAATTTCCTCTAGTGTTGTTATATAACTCTTCTTACGGTTGGTTATTAGACTGGGTAAAAATAAATAATAAATAAATGAAAATACAGGTTGACATGACATCATTAGCTTCAGAAATTAGAAATAAAATGCTACATCCTGAGAAAAAAAACACAGTAAATGATAAAGATCTTAAGAAAAACAAAATTCCTTAAAGATATATTGAAAAAAAATTGAATGAAGCTAAATAAAAAAAAAATTCAGTAAAATGTTTTTAAACAGGAAGGATTCAAACAGTTAGTGAAATCTCATCCCTGACACTTTCTGAAGTAGTATAATACATATGAAATACAGAAATAAAGATAAGATCAAAGACTTCCTCTATGATTATTAGATTTGAACTTGCAGGAGTAGTTTATTCCATGGAAGGGAGGAAGGCAAAGGAAACAAGCAAAAATAATACCTTATATACCAGAAAACCCAATAAGTTATCAACCAAATATCAGTGACTCAGTTATAGTTGTTGTAATATAGCAATAGAATTGCAAAATAACAGTATTAGTTATAGGTATGTTGTCTGGTAGACATTTATTTGATTTGGCAGCATACTTGCTCTTTGAAAACAATCAAATTGAAAGTCAATACACATTCCACTTCCTTAGTAGAGATTAAGAGACATTGTGTGTGATGCATGTGCATTTCTGTGGTTCAGATGTGACGGTTGTAAATGATCTTTATTTCTGAAATGAGGCAAAATGGTATGAAATATTTTTAGCCCAGTGAAGTCAGTGTGTTTTGCCATTGACTTCGGTAAGGTTTTGGCTCCTCCCTCAATGTCTTACTATCCTTAGTAGAGCTGCAGCCTGTGTCACAATTCGTGTGTAGTAGAAGGTAGTAACAGCACTGAAGTGCAAGTGCCTACTACTGCATTAACAATACAGTCTCCAACAGATTCCAATTCCTTAACTAAAGACTACATGTATTCTTTAAGAATCTGCTCTAAAACCCATGTAGTTGAAGTGAAAGATTGACAATGACTTCAACAAGCTTTAAGAAAGAATGATTTCAAACAGAAAAGGGGAGGGGAAGAAGGGGAATAATACATGAATCTTTGCATTCTTTCCTTTTAAAGCAAATGAATGTGGATTGAGGCTGCTTGACCTAGTGTAAATGGGTCCACCCAAACCTGCTGGACCAGCTGAATAAGCAGGTAGAGTTTAGGACATGAGCAATTTCTTGCAACATGCTCATTGTAATGTTCTTTTATTACATTTGAGTAATTGCTTCCTCGTACTGCCGTTATGAAAGCATCTCAATGACTTGCATGATGAGCTTGCTCCCTTTTCTTTCCAAGATGCTAGCTAGCAGCATTACACAAGAAACATAGCTAACACTAGCACAACATTTCTAAAGTTTAAATAAAAAATATGTTACCCTAACATTTCTTTTGATGATCTCTCTGTCCATTAGCAGCCTTCCTTCTGACAGTTCAATTCCTGTGAGGGGAATGAGGACTTCTCCAATGACATCATCTCTGGAAAACCTGTCAAAGCTCAAGATCATAAAGTGAAGTGTTAAGTCTTGAATTTGGCTATAGGGGATCCCGTAAAACGTGAAGGTCTCATCAAAAGCTGGATCTAAGGTTTTTCTCAGCACTCTGGTTTTCACCTTGTGCTTTTTCTCAGGCAGGATTGTCATTTTGATGTAAGGATCAGAAGTCATTGACTGTTCATCCATTGCTGGCAGCCCACGTGCTTCTTTGATGTCCACAACAAATGCCTTTTTCTCAAAGTTGTACTCTAAGGAGAAAAAGAGAGTTCCTAGCTTGTCTTGTTTATCTTCAGATGACAGGGAAGTGATGGATTTTAAACTATCAGGGGATACTGAATCTTTCTTCCTTTCTGCAAAGTGCTTAGGAGACAAATTTTCAAGATCTGGAGAGCTCTGGACTTTAGGGGTTGTTTTGGGGAAATTGCCATTTAGATCTCTCTTCTCCAGGTCGAGATGGAGAGAATTCTTTGGCATCACTGATTTGTTCTTTGCTTCGCTTTTATCATCTGCTCCAAACTTCTTCTTACTGTTGAGATTCTCAGGGTAAATATCGACCCCCTTCAGAACATGGACAAACTTATACGGAGGGGTCTTATTGGTTTTGGAAGATTTACGCTGGCAGCAGATCCAAGCAAAAAGGGAGACAGAGAAGACAAGGCCAAATGCACTAAAGATCCCAACCACTGTAGGAATTTCATCTGTAAATCAAATAAATAGCAACAAGCACATAAGCAGCAATGCCTTGGACTCTGTGTGATATTTAATAAAGTAATAATTTAGTACAACAAACTGATAACGAGATGGTAATAGCAGCAGGATCGACAGACTGAAAGTGCTTTGCATCGTACACATTGCTCGCCACCTGCAGGCATGAATGTGTAGTCCCATGCTAAGGCATGCTTGTTATGTTAGTATTTTTCCATACACAGAGTGTCTGGGAGGAAAATACTATTCCCATCCTAATAGTAATAACCCTTAGTAATTGCTCGACTGTCTCATCCCTCTGTGTAGTTTCTGAGTTTATATGTCTGTGAGCAATACCAGCTCTCTGAACGTTTCAGCTTTGAGTTTACGGAGCTTTGTTGATTAGATAAAACAGATTCTGAAATATGCATTACTTATAGATACATCATCTGCTTTTCACACTGTTTCCTAGAATACTTTGAACACTCAATTAACTCATTTTTTATGGTCTGATCCCATAATTGCCTGGAGGTATCTCTTGAAAGAACTGAGTTTAATTGGAGGTTATAATACCTAACAGTTTCAATGGGACTTTCAATACTTTGCAGGAGAAAGTCTATCAAGAAAATTTAGAATAATTATATACCAAGTGTCTTTTCCAGATGGATGTGACACTGGGCAGTCACATGTGAATCCAAAGCTGAAAAACTATGAAGTGTATCACCAATAACCACTAAGCTTTGTATTTAAGACACTGTGAATCAAAGCTATGGGGAGTTTACAGGAAGGGTCACTACTTTTTAGGAGTACATAAGAAAAACATTAAAACATAATTCTCTTCTGCCGTAATATGAATCCTATACTTAAACTGAATAAAGAGAAAACTGAGCAAGTGTTACTACCTCAATTGTCATGTGGATACATTAGTTACATATAGAGTATCATTAGCTCTTCAAAGCATGCATCGAAGGGGTAAATGAGCACAACTAATTGGAAATCCAATTTTGCCCATAAGTAACATTACTAAGTGAGTTCAAACCTCCCACAATGTAACAATCAGAGCTTAATCTTTATTCCCTGCAACAGTGGAAGACCAGTAGAATATTAATGGAATTGTTTATGCATAAAGGCAATTGTGTAACAGTTCTGTTTCTCTCACAAATGATTAGCAGATCGTTCCGGATGAGAAAAGCAAAACTATCCCCCTCTAAGTATTACTAAATCAGCTTCACCCAGGTAAAAGCTGGGCAGATAGACATGCTGCCACTATACCTTTGCTTTTTAGTGGGATGATGCAAAAAAATCCCCAACAATACTATCAGAACAAAGTGGGACATACTGTTCCAGCACAGAAAGGATCAGGCCTGGCTATTAATTTTTTCTGACAATATTCATGTCACTTTCCCTTTGCCCACAGCTGTATCAGTCTACATACTTCATTGTAAGAACTTAATGAAATGACTGAAAATTATATACATAACCAAAAAGTATTTTTTCTAAGTTAAGCACGTGGCTCTGAGTTTCAGGATTTCCCTGGGCTGCATAAATTTAAATATACATTGTATAAAGGGAGAAAGCAAGAAGTAATTGAAAACTAATCAGAATATTTTAATAGCTTTTAAGAATGATTTGCACATTTACAATACTTATTCATGAGATGACAGACTTTTTATAGGAATGGATATTATGTTAGATTTTAATTCTACAACTACTGAAAGCAGTGGTAGAATCAATTTGTGTTTAAAATATTAATTATCTTTCTTAAATAAGTAATTAGATAAGCATGATGTCACAGGTGTGGTTAGAAACATCAAGTGGGTGGGGTAGGAAGGAAGACGAAATGGTAACTCAAATGGTTTTATATTTACTACTAATTATGTTGCAACCTGAATTTCTTGCTGTTGTCATAATTTAAATCAATAGGTTAACATTCAAGGCAGTGTATTAATAGGCAACATCACCTACTGATTCTGGGAGAAGTTTTTATTTCAGTTACCCAATATAAATCTGGAGTCACTTCACTTAAGTCAGTGGAATCATCCTTGAATTAAACCGCTGCTAAAGCAAATACAATCTAGGCTACAGTCAATATTTGTAAAGGAGAGTTCAGGAATATTTCTGCTTACTGCTTTTCTGAGTAAAGCTATTTACGTATCTTTTTTATAAGGGCACAGCACATATATGACTGTTTCTGAAACTTCTGGTATCACAGTTCATCACCCTACACCCAGTGCGCAGATATGACAAAACTGAAAAGTTCCTTGTTTTCATTGCTATTCTCAATGAACCCAGGCTGATCGAGAAGCAGCTGTTTAGCTAAAAAGACCGGGATCCTGCATTTTTGTCTTCCCAGCAACGTCCTTTACAAGACTACCTTTCACTTTAACTAACGGTTGACAAGTCTTTCTCTACAACAAGAAAAAGGGAATGACAATTATTCCAAGAATGACTTGAACAAAGATTTTTCGCTGTGGCACAGGATGCATTTACATCATTTAACTCCCAAGCCACGCTGCTTTATACCAAGACAGAGAAAACAACCCCAAACCTCTCTCATCTGAAAACGCACCTACACGAACCTCTGCATCTCTCCCA